AGACTCCAACTCAAAAAAAAAAAAAAAAAAATCATGGCCTCTGTAGCAACTTAGATGCAGTTGGAGACCATCATACTAAGTGAACTATTACAGAACTGAATACCACATGTTCTCAATCATAATAGGGCCCTAAACACTAGTCACATTAGCAGAAGGGTGGGATCAGCAGTCACTGGGCACTGCTGGGGGGTGGGGGTTTATGTGACAATACAATGGGTACCTGGTCCACTACTGGGGGAGTGAGGGCCAGCTGCAAGTCCAAACTTCACCTGCACGCAATCTACTTATGTAGCAAATCCTTATTTGTATACAAGTCTATAATTAATTATTAATTAATTTTTTTAATGGTTATACATTTTTAAACACTAAATATACTGATTTTTTTACTATAAATTATAAAAATATTGGAAAACATAAAACCTTTATACAGAGAAATTAAAATCAACCATAAGCCTGGTCCCCAGCAATCAAAACTATTAACATGTGGTAAATTTTTTTCTGGGTATACATAAATTGGAATCATACTTATGCAGAGAGTTTTTATATTGATTTCATCACTTAAAAATACCTAGAGACATTTTCAGTGTGAGCTCTTAAAAGTTACAAAACCATTACATCAGACACTATTTGAAAAATTCGCAGGTTACTGAGAGATGTCATGTTGTACCTAAGAACAGTATTGTGCATTTAAATATAAGTTATACCCAGAAAACTGATAGGAGGAGTGCCTATTTTACTCTTCTTAGAGCACATGTAATAGAAAACTCCTCTTTCTTCTCTTTAACTTGAAGAGAATTGGAGAAGATACTTTTGTGTCCTCAGCAATGAGGCATTATGTGCCATTTTTCTTTTTTTACATTCTCATATCTTACTTTTCCCTTGATAAGGGGAAAGCTTTGAAAATTCACTGCTGGAAAAATGGTGTCTTACTTGAGAAGGTGCTCAGCAGCTGAGAAGAAACCTCCAGAAAGAAGTAGTATGGCAAGAAAAGCCATGGACTTGGAAACAGGAAAAAAAAAAACAAAAACAAACTGGATTCAGATTCAGCTCTGAATTTCAGTCTCCCTATGTGTCAAGAGAGACACCAGCACCCAACTCATAAGGATCGAGGTCTATATGTGAAAGTAGTTTGTCAATAGTAAAATGTGTTCAGGGTAATAATCACTAATTAGTGTTAATAGTGGCTGTCACTAGTATTGTTGTTTTTGTTGCTTAGCTGACTCGAAACACTCATTGCAGAAACTTGGGGGCAGCATCTAACAGTAGGTAAAACATGGACTCTGGAGTCAGACTGCACTTCCTAGCTTGGTGAATTATTTAACCTCTGAGTTTCTTCATCTGTAAAATGAGATTATGATAGTACACCTAGCTTTTAGGACTCTTGAGAGGATTAAAATGAGTTAATTTACACACAGTGCTTAGAACAGTGTCTGACACATAACTATATAAGGGTAAGCTATAAAAACAGTCAGTGATCCATGGCCAAATATAAGATTGAAATAAACTTACGCCTGCTAAAACTAGTAGGCACATTTTAAAATGCTTTCCACAGAAGGACTATCATCATTAATCAGAAAGTTGGATTAGCAACCTCAGTCAGTCTCCATAAAATGATGCCCCTTCCACCCCAACCCACCTTGGCTGTGGCCTGCCTCCTTCCTACCTTTTCAGCATCCTGCTCGAAGAGCCGCAGCTGAAAGCACTGGTCCAGCTTGAGCTTGCGCACATGCCACATCTGGTGAAGGTGCTGCCGGGTGGAGTGCAGCTTGTCCAGGAGGCTGGTGATCTTGGGCACTAGGCTCTGGAAGTCAGCGCTGCCCGGGATGCAATTGCGCCCTGAGAAGCCATCGCTGCAGCGGATGCACTGCAATAGTCGCTGCCCCTCTCGGTCCAGCTCCTCCACAGGGGCCTTCAGCACCTTTTTCTTGAGCTGTGTGTGCTCATCAATAAGCCGCCGAGAGCCCTCTACATCCACAGGGAACTCTTTCCTGGCCAGCATCTCCTGCAGGTCCTCGAGGCGTGAGAGCAGGTGCACAGCACTGTTAAAGAACTCCTCCAGGGAAAGCCGCAGCTCGATCCACTCCTCATGGTTGTAGTCCAGGGAGCCGTCAAACTCTTCTGTCAGCTGGGAGGGGTCCACCAGCTTTGAGAGGCCCTCCACAGACACCATGCTCGTCTGAGAGGAGCAGACACAGACAGGGAGACTCAATGATGAGAGTGGAAGAACACAGCAGAAATAGGCAGGAGGGAGAGGACAAGATAAGTCCACATAATAATGACCACAGCCTGTCTAGGAAAGGGTTGGTGGGGGACCATGGGACCCACTGGCTAGGAGTCATAAATCAACCAGAGTCAGCAGTTTCTACAGACTTCTGACTGACTGCTTCAACAAGCTACTCCACCTGCCCATTATTTACCACCCAAGGAGAACTGCCTGCATGTCCCTGTTCCCCGTATGTTTTGTCCTCCCCACCCCAAGACCACCACAACAGCATTTCAAATGCTAGAGCAAAAGCAGAAGAAAAACTGACCTAGCACCAGGAGAGTCAGTTTTCCATAGCTTTAAAACCAAGGCCCATGGGCCAGGGTATCATCATGGTTGGGTTAAGTGGTGTGGGTCAGCACTTGGGCTACCAGGATTTCAGTCTATCTGCTTTGCTCTCACCATTAGCAGGCGCTCTTCTGTAGTACAGTGAACAGAACTAGGACTGGGCAAAAGGGGAGTCTGGGCTTTCGATTTTCCCTTACTAGCTGCTGGAGAGCAGAGTGGAGAATGTTTGTCTACAGGACACAGAGTCTCTCCAGCAAATGACAGTGCAGGCAACCACTCCAGCTGGTTTCTCTCTCATGAAGAATGAGAGGTTAGCAGATAAATATCTGGGTTCAAGTTCCAGTCCTACACTTACTAACTGTGTGACCCTGGACAAGCTATTGAAGTTCTCAGAGTCTCAGTCTCCTCCTCTGTATAATGGAGTAATATCTCCTTTTTCACAGGGCTTGCTGGGATTAAGTGTGTCAATGTGTGTAAAGCACATAGGAGTGTATTGCAGGAAGCACATGCTCACTCCTGTTAGTGCTTACTGTGTTCACCTAGAGGCTGCATCAGTACCTGAACCTTAAAGCAGTTTGTCTCTCTATATCTTGCTAGTCTCTGAGCATCACCTCTTCTTCTCCCTCCACACCGCTCCTAAGACATGGGAAGGAGTAGCCACAGGCAGGAAGGCTGATCTGGTACAGTAGTTCTCTGCTTTTGACTGCTCCTTAGAACCCTTTGGGGAGTGTGCAAAAATACCAATGCTCAAACCCCACTCCTAGAAATTCTGATTTAATTGGCCTGAACTGGAGCTTGGGTATGGGTAGTTTTAAAAGGCCCCTGGTGATTCTAATATGCAGCTAAAGTTACAAACTTCTGCCAATCTAGCATCTTGATACTAAAAGAGTGGCCCTCAGAGATCAGCAGTATTGGCCTCACCCAGGAGCTTGCTAGAAATGCAGAATCTTAGGCCCTACCCCAGACCTATTGAGTCAGAATCTACATTTACAAGTTCCCGAGGGGATTTGTGTGTGCACCTTAAACTTTGAGAAGACCTATTCTAGAATGCTTTCCCCTTCAATTCTAGCTCAAAGTTTACTGCTTCCAGGAAGTCCTCCATAACTATACTCACCAATTATTAAGTACCTGCTTTTGAACAAGCTTGTGCTCTCATCCCTGTGTCACTTGTTACCCCAGTCTGCACTAGGTATTAAATTTGCTACTTAAAAATTTTTCTTTATAAACATTCTTTTGATTGGGAGGCCCCTAACTATCTCTTGTTTAGGAGGCAGAGATAAGCTTGCTCAACTTGGAGAGAAGGAGGTACAAGGAGATGGGATATGCTGGTCAGCAAAAGTTTTAAGACTTATTGAAAAGATTATTTTCAGTCTCTTCTGCTTATACATTTATAGGCTTGTTGTCACTGCCTCTGTATAAACAAACCAAGAATAAAAAAGCATTCCCTAAAGGACTTCTAATGTTCTTTAGGGGTGCTGGAAGACTATGATAGCTGTTTTTATACCAAGCCAAATTTCTTGTGTTATTTGTACAGAATGAGAACTGTCTTAATCAAGTGTCAGGATGTTGTGCTCAAATTGCAGCCAATATATTGGGGCCCCAACACCACACACGGGTGCTCCTGGCCCCTGGGAGTACAAAAGTCTGGAATGGGAAGCTGTTGAAAGATTAAAAGCAGTCCCACCTTTTCAACATATACACATATACAAGTTCATCCCTGCAGATGACCAGAATCCTGAGAAAGGGAAAGGCTCAAATTTGGCTGGAACAAAGACGCTTAAATTGTTTATTTAATCTGATATGTTGTCATCAAAAATTCTCAGGGGACACATATGCCTTCTGAAAAATTTAGTTGAAAAATAACACGTTTTCCTTGATTATAAAAGCAATATGTCATCCTTGAAAAAAATAGAAAACTACGAAGAAAATAAAAACCACCATTATCCAGCCACGTAGAATAAATCACTGCTAACATCTTCATGTGTCTCAGTCTTCTCCATACGCCCATTTTAAAAACACATTTCAGATTATACTGTCCATACTGTTTTATAACCTGCCGCATGTACTAAACAATATATCATGAACATTTTCCAATACTATTTTTCTAAATATGGCTTTTAATGAATTCATAGCATTTGTGTATTAATATCGCCAAAATTAATGGATAGTTATGATACAACCTATATGTGTGTGAAAGTATATGAATTATATATGTTTATATATACTTGTGTGTGTATGCATACTATTGTATAGGAACATATGAACTATGATGAACATCCTTATAAATATTTTTGTTTGTAATTTAACTTAGCTTTTTAACTTTTTGTTTAGTTTAGTTTTTGCATTAAGAATATTTTTCCAAATTGGTTAATGGGTACATAAATATAGTTATATAGAATAAATAAGTTCTAGTAGTCAATAATATAGTAGGAAAAGTATGGTTAACAATAATTCATTAAATGTTTCAAAATAGCTAGAAGAGAACTGTAATGTTCTCAACACAAATAAAAGATAAATGTTTGAGGTGATGAATATTCCAATTGCCCTGATTTGATTGCATATAGCTATCAAAATATCACACGTACCCCAAAATATGTACAACTATAATACACCAATAAAAAAGAATAATTACTAGATCATGGATAGAAACTCTCTTTAAGGATTTTGATACAAATTGCAAAGTTTCCCTAGAAATAGTTGTCCCAATTTACACACCCACCAAGAGTAAACAGGATTGTCTAATGAAACTGTGCATTTGGGATATCTCTCCTCTCCAAATTCTACTGGTCAGGCTGTAGTGGCCAGAGAAGCCTGAAATCTCAGCCCTTACCATGTTGTATATCATAGGATAGATGGAGAAGAGAAGTGAGAAGTGTGTGAATGGCACAAGGTGCTAAGTGGCAGAGGTCTGGCTCACCTCAAAGATGAACTTGGAGCTGCCAAAGTTGGTCTTCTGTTTCTGCCAGAAGTTGTCGGGTTTGATGATGAGGGCCACATGGATCTCAGCTGGAAAGGCTTCCTGCAGCGTTTTGAGGAGGGGCTTAATGAGGTCCCACTTGGAGCCCCGCATGTCGATGATGACGGTGAAGCCACGTTTGCACACGTCCTCACTGTGGGGAGGTCAGAGGTCAGGCATGGTCACCCTGGGTAGCTGAGACTTCAGAGTACACAGTCAAAAAGTACCCAGAAACCTGCATTGCCCTTGACACAGATCACCCTTCCAACTTCATGCCAGGTCTCCTGGTCACCTTCCAATTCAACTCAAAATGTACTATCTCACAAAACCTTTCTAGATCTGACCAATGATTCTGATATTCTGCCTTCTCCCAGCACTTTGCAAATGACGGTGCCTTCCTTATACACATTGAATCTCCCTAATTCAAAAATCAAAAATCTGAAATGCTCCAAAATTTGAAACTTTTTGAGCATCAACATGACACTCAAAGGAAATGAGCACTGGAACATTTTGAATTTCAGATTTTCAAGTTAGGAATGCTTAACTGGTAAATATAATGCCACCATTCCAAATCCAAAAAAATCTAAAATCCAAGATACTTCTGGTCCCAAGCATTTTGGATAAGGAATACTCAATCTATAGTCAATTATACTTGTTGGGATGTTTACCATTTGGGTATACCCAATTGTATTTTATTTTTATTTTAATTTTTGTCTCTCTTTCTCGTTCCTCGGATGAATCATATTTTCTCCATTCAAGCTCTCTAAACACAAACATCCTGTTGTCTCTTAAATCTGGGATGGAAAGTCTTTGGTAGGAGTGTTGTTTTTCCCTGTACCCACGACAGACACTGGTACACTTTACCACTGAACATAAACTGGACCAAAGGATCCTTTTTAATAATGAGCTCTAAGATAACTCTGCCAATTGATTAGAGACAGTACACCAAGTATTAATAACATCTACTTACCACTACTGTATTTAAGATGTATTCCTTGTAGTTTTTATTTTCATTTTCTTTTTTTTTCTTTTAAGACAGGATCTCACTATATTGCCCAGACTGGAGTGCAGTGGCTATTCATAGGCACAGTCACAGAGCACTGAAGCCTCAAACTCCTAGCCTGAAGTGATCATTCTGTCTTAGCCTCCTAGGTAGTTGGGACTACAGGATCACACTACCCTGCCCAGCTTTGTAGTTGAAAATGTGTGTTAATTAAAAAAAAAATCAGGTCACTGAGTCATGCTGATCACTCAGAAGTAGCCAACAGTGGAAGTGATTGGAACGGAGGATACAGTCCAGTTGTTTCATGTACTTTCACAATAAGGGTCACAGTGCAAAAACGCACATTTCACAATGTTAAGGGAAGATGGACAGGAGTAACTCTTAAAATCAAGGCAAACTGAAGTGACAGCAACCATCTTGAAAACCAAGACATAAGCAGGCTAAGTGAATCAAGATGCTGCTATATAACTTATTAAGTAACAAAGTTTTTTGGGTTTTTTTTTAGCACTTGAACTTAGGCTATAACTCCTGAGACTAGGAAAAAAATAAAAAGATAGTTCCAATATCTCAGTTTGGAAGAAAATCCATGTTTTGGTAGTTAGGGGTCTTTCCTTCTCTTATTTTTGGTTTTTCTATTTTTTTATAATTTAAAATATACTTCTTTGATTAATTCATATTCTTTACATAAATACTCATGTATTATTTCCTTAAGGTCTTTCACTTAATTTCCCATTTCCCAGATTGTACCTGTATAAACCACTGTGCAAGCTATGTGATCCTCATATATGTCCCATTACACATCAGTCACTTACTGCTACTGGAAGTAAGGATACTTTTGGAGGATTTAGGCCACATAAATAAACAATAATCTTTTTTAAAGATTTCATCCTCAAATCTCAAGCAGTGATGAGAATGTTACAGCCCCATGTAGAAACTACCAGAGTTGGGACTATGTGTCTCCAAGCATAAGACAACTTACTTTGGCCTCCCAGGTAGACAGAAAATTCCCCAGGGGAGAAGACTCTCTCCAGCATGAGAGGAAGGCTAAGCATCCTCCCCTGGTCCTGCAACCCAAAGGAAAAGAGTTGCTTCTTCTTCTCTGACAACTTATTAAAGCAATGAGTGGTCAAGCTCTTCTATAAACAATTCTTTGCCCTCTTATCTGAAAATAATGTGAGTTTTTCTTAAAATAGAGGATTTCTGCCCCATTATAAGAGAAACACTGGATAATTATATTAAAGTTAAAATACTCAAAGACCTATACAAGAGATGCTAATGCAGGAGCTTATAATACCCTGGCCTATATCCTTTCAATCTTTTTTGTGCATATTGTTTTCATACCACATAGTATTTGCTATAACATAGCTTTTTCTCATGTCTAAAATTTCGCTGAAACTGTTATATTTAATGACATATTGTCCATCTTATGCCTATACCATAACTTATTCAATCATTCTCAGTATTGCTTTACAAAAAGACATATCAACTAACATGTCCACCAGCAGTATATGAAAGTACCCTTCTTACCATACCCTCACCAGCACTGGCCACTGAATTTTTAAAATCTTTGCCCTTTTTCTAAGAAAAAGTATTTGCAGTACATTTACATTTGCATTTCTGGTCAGGTGCAATGACTCACGCCTGTAATCTTAGCACTTTGGGAGGCCAAGGTGGGAGGATCCCTTGAGGCCAGATATTCAAGACAAGCCTGGGCAACATAGTGAGACCTTACCTTTATTTAAAAATTGATAAAATTAGCCCAGCATGGTGGTATACACCTGTAGTAGCAGCTACTTGAAAGGCTGAGGAGGGAAGATCACCTGAGCCCAAGAGGTCCAGGCTGTAGTAAGCCAGGATAATGCCACTGCACTCAAGCCTGGGCCACAGAGTGAGACCCTGACTCAAATGCATGAATTAATGAATGAGTAAATTTGCATTTATTTGATCAGTAGCTATTTTTTATTGGCCCATAACTATTTCTTCTGTGAATTACCTGATCAGTTCTTTCATTCATTTTTTCTATTAGGGTTTAATGGCCTTCTGTTGGGGTTTAATGGCTTTCCTCACTGAGTGTAGTTTAGTTTAGCTTAATTCACATTTGTTGCATGCCCACCTATGTTAGATTCAGCAACACAACTGTGGGTCTTGCCTTTTCTTTCCTTAGATAACAGTCTTCCTTATTTCCCTGCTCCTCAGGCTCCATCCCTGTTGCCATAATTATGCTGACATGAGAAATCCTCGATTCTAACAACAAATATTCAGTGTCACTACCAAGAGCTGGAGGTTGACTATCACAGCATCTAAAGGTGGTGGTAGCAGTAGCAGGTTACACCTTATTAGCTAATCATTTCTGACAAATAAGAGTAGAAATCAGGTACCAATAATCTCTAGGAGGTTTTCAACAACTCAGGGGATTGGGAAAAAGACTCAGGGGCTGAATGCTAAGAACTAATCTAACTGGCATCTTTCTGTGAAAACAGTCTCATCTTCCAAGGGGCTTTGTGTGTTTGGTTTCAAGTTAGGGGTATAGCTGGGGAAGGGGAAAGAATTATTACTTATTCTAAGCCAGGAGATTGTGGCTGGGTACTTGCCATACAACATTTCATTTTATCCTCACAATAACCTTATATATTAGATATGGTTATCTGTATGTAAAGAAGATGAGATTGAGTCACAAAATTTGCCTAAGGTCACGCGACTAGTAAGTAGCTAAGCAAATATTTAAAACCAGGATTGTCAACTTTAAAGCTCAAGCTCAGGTCACAATATCATCTACCATACTACATGTGGTTGCTTTTGTTTGAGAACAGGAGTTGGGGGTCAGCGATGAGGAGATTTGGTTGCTTTATTCCCAGTCCAGTGCCCTTTTAGACTTTGTGATTCAGTCACTTAAAATGATTTGACTCATTGCTGATGGATCGAATATATCGATTTGATATATTTTTTAGAGACAGAGTCTTGCTCTGTCACCCAGGTTGGAGTGTAGTGGCATCACCATAGCTCACTGCAGCCTTAAAGTACTGGGCTTAAGCGATCCTCCCACTTCAGTCTCCTGAATAGTTAGGACTACAGGCATGTGCTACTATGCCTCACTTTTTTGTTTGTTTTTAATTTTTGTAAAGACAGGTTCCTGCTATGTTGCCCAGGCTGGTCTCAAACTCCTGGCCTCAAGCAATCCTCTCACCTTGGCCTCCCAAAGTGCTGGAATCTCAGGTATGAAGGTCCGTGTCTGAATTAGAAAATGTTTTATTTAACAGAATGTTAACTTGCTATATTAATTTCAAATATTCAGACAAAGGGAATGTGGTCTTCCATTTGTATTCTTGTCCTGGGTACCACATTGTTAGAATTGGGAAAGAGAAGATGCTGGAATGAAAGCATCAGGTCAGGACACACTTCACATGCCAAGGCAGAAACCACTGAAGGGTATGACTCAGGGAAGGAATGTGATCAGGTGATTTGGAAAGATTACCTTCCAGCTGTGCAAAAGGAAATCAAATTGGGGTCTGCCCAAAGGAGTGGTGAGAGTAGAAGTAGTAACCACCTCCTTTGGGCCCTAGCTAAAATGACTTCTCAATGAAGTGTTCCTTGGGTTACCCTATTTAAAACCGCAACTGTCACTTGGCACTCCCTACTTCCTGATTTATTTTTCTCCATAGCACTTATGTTTTATTTACTTATTATTCATCTTCCCTGACTGGAAAGTAACCTCAATGAGGGCAGGAGGGTTTTGTTTCTTTTTAAAATTCATTTCACTGCTGGGTTCCCAATGCCTAGTGTATACAAAGACTCTATACACTGAGGACACAGAGGTAGCAGTTAGGGTATGGAAACTAGATCCAAACTTCCTAGGTCTGAATCCTGGCTCCATCATTTACTTATTGTGGAAATTCTCTGTGCCTACATGCCTGCATTGTAAAATGTGAATAATAATAGTAACTATATTACAGGTTTATCTTAAAGGTTAGGCCAATATACATAAAGCACTTATGATGGTGCCAGCCACATAGTCTACGTAAGTCTTAGCGGCTGTAGGAGATGCTGTTGGGGTCCCACCCAAGGCCCCTTTATTGACCACTATACCCGTCCTCCAATTCTATAAGTGCTGAAGCTATAAACTAATGCTATGACCATCTCGGGACATTTGTCTT